AGCCGGCGCAACATGGCATTTGGTAGGCGCTTTTTTACAGAATAGACGAGGGGAACTTAAACATGAGGAAGGTACATAAAAAGGACGGACGGACGTCCCCCCTTTCTATGTTTCTTCTTCATATTTAAAGGGACCATGAAATGATTTTAAAATCGAGTTTCATCCACCGCACGTCGTAAAAGGTGTGAAAAGAAACACAAAAACACAAAAATAGGGAGCCCAAAAAAATTATTTGCTATAGAACTTTTAAAAGAAAACTGGACTCTTTTGCGCCTTCCTTCCTTCGCCTGTTCACTACGATGCATACGCAGAATCGGTGCACGTCAGCCGAATCCACATCGCCTATTGGGTAAGAGCCTACCTCACCAGCACCGCGATCGTAAACAATAAATAGCCGGCGAATGTTTCCTAAAAGTTTTGTTAAATAATATTCAGATCCACATTTTGTAGCATAATTAGAGATGTGTGGCGAAAATTGCCAAATTTGATAATGCTGAGAGCCAAGCGCCATCTATCGTGTGGTAAACGAAGCAACTACTGCGCGTGCGCAGTAGGGCAGGGCCGCCAGTTACTTGGGTGACGGCGACCGACGAACATTTATTTTCTTTGTTTTCCTTCCTCTCAAAACTCTGACTGACTGAACGTTTATTTTTCTACGTGTTCTTCCCGCGCGTGCCGACTTCAAGCAGCAAGAAAACAGTACTTAAAACAGACCACGACGAACAAGAACGCTGGATTCACCGACTCCGACGAAGCGTATAGGCCTAGCAGGCATTCCGACTCGGCGCTGCGTTGCTTCGTCGCAAGACCGTCTGCCTACGACCGGCTGGCGTGCTAAATGGAATATGCCCGCGCGACCCTTGTGGACCCTTCCCGTATTATAGTTTGATCACTGACCTCATTTCTAGATTAAGAGGTGAGGAGGTCAATCTCTTCCCCTTGTTTTCCGAGGCAGTGTTGACGAACACTCGTCGAAAAGGGACTCTCGTCGATTCTATCTTCTTGTTTTGTGTGATAAAGAGCTGAAATAAACGCCGTATGGATTGCCTTCGTAACACGGTATGTACACTTTGTTATTGGTATGCCATTTTTATTCTGAGAGACTGCACGTCACTGTCGACCCCAGTCCAACCTTTCTTTGCCGAGTGTCGCGTCAGTATCGAGTTGCAATCGTAAAAGAACGGTCCCGAAGCGCTTACCAACAGCGCGAATACAAGACTTCCATCAAGCGCGCGCGTCCGCTCCGAGTGCAAGCAGGTATTTACGTGGCTCTTGCTGACACTCGTAGTTCAAACGTATCTTCTTTAACGTCGGCTCGCTCCTGCATCTCCGAGGCCGCGAAAAACGCCATCTACGTCGCTTTGCAAACGACTGACACGGGCCGGCCCTTCTGCCAACAATGACGGGGTGGTGACAAGACTCGCTGCACTTCCCAACAGGCATACCGGCGTATGGGACTAGTCCCATGCTGTCGCTGTAGCGCAACATATCTCATTGAATTTCGCTCAGCTGCGATGCGGCGATGAGAGGCGCCGATTCAGGAAATACGTCGGTGACATCAGCGCAGTAAAACCTACCGGCGCACCCCAACTCGTTGCCGCTAACACTCCCATTCTCCTACTGCCGAGAGAACTTCCGGTTCCGGAAACGGTCACGTCACGGCTTCTTTTGCGGTCAGTTGGAGAGAATGAAAAAGTCGATATTTCAATAATTTTTTGTGTAAAAGTTAATAAACCGAGACGAAAACGGATGCCTGTTCGGCATTCAGTGAACATTGACGGTTTAATGTAAAAGTTATCTGGAAAAAGTAAAAAGGTCATTTCATGGTCCCTTTAAGTACTGTTACAAATACACTCGTTTTGCACTTAACTGAAGAGGGCAAGGTCGCAAAACCACACACGGCGCTTTTCGTCAGCGTCTCTTCGGCGTTTGGTGCGAAAACTCCCGAGTCGGGCCGACTCAAGCTTTTCATGAAACGAGGCAAAATGTAAATCGGTTGGTATATTACCGCCTTCCACAAGGCAAGAGAAATAACAAATTTTCAATCAACAACGCAAGCCTAATTTCCTAACGCTTGTCTCAAAAATGTACTTTGCGATCGCCAGTTTGCTAACAAGCAGAAGGGCGGCCGCGATATCTGCTCAAAACCTTTCCTTTTATCATTTGTTTTATGTCACCCGCCCCATCGGTCGTCTTTTCTTTTTTTTTTTTTCAATCGTACATCGCTCGTTCGAAAAAGGTATTGCAATTTCGTAGAGTACGCCGATAAACAGCCGAACGCGACAATCGAGCGCCCATTTTGGCGGCCGAATCAAGTCAGCCACCAGGCCGCAAAGCTAGACAAGCCAATCCTCGAATAACTTACGGCTGTTAACTCGCGAGCTGATTGGCCGGCACTGCGCCGTACGCTTCCGGAAACGCCACGTCGAAATACGTCGAAGTGCTGAGATCTGTCTTGGTCGGATCGCCAAGTACGTGTGTATTTACGCCGATCTTGAGGCGTGGAGGAAGCGCTCGTCCGACGCCTGCTATACGTCGGGATTACGTCCGCCAAAACGTTAGAAAATCTGTCGAAAATGCTCCCTATATTGTTCGGCCTTAAGGTGGAATGAAGTATAGTTGCACGAGCGCGTGCAAATAAGACGCTTAATTAAGTCTAACGCTAGAAAAAAAGTGGACAAAACGATTGCATCAACATTCGGCTTATACTGGACCCGAATTCGAGTGCTGATGCGGCCCTCATCTCCAATCTGTGTCCAGCGTTGGCCTTCATTCACGACGCATAATATCAGCAGTACGGCCTTGTCTTCTAGGCGGTGCTGGACGAGTCCGACGGCACGAGATTAATTAAGATGTTTTCACCTAACCTTAAAGTAGTTCCCGTTCTCCAACCGCATTGTCACAGTACAGATTTTGAAATTTAATGCGATTAGACGCGAAGAACGCACCCAGTGAAAGATGCGAGAAAATGTGGCGCTGTGCGTCTGGTGTTTTTTGAATGGGGATACCGGGTCACAACCTCCGCTGCGGTTTAAAGATTGATATTCCCCATCCCGTAATTCACACCGTGCATATACTTTTATTTCATTTTTTTTTTTTCTAGCAGTTCCGCATTCACCCGTCCTCACGTTTCTTCCAAGATAACAAGCGGTGTTTTTGAAAGGACGTCGATCCTTCCCCGTATGAGGGGCTTTAACTATGACGCACATAATGGGCCGGGCTCGTTGTAATTATACTCCGTGGAAGTTCGTCTTATCGATGCGCACCTGGTACGCTTGTTTACACCCCAAACGCCCCCACGTGCTTTTCTTTGCCCCCTACCTCAAGCAATGGCGGCGCGTGCTTGACTGCCTCGTCATCGCTCGCTTCCTGGGCGTTCTCTGTTGCCTTTTTATTAGCTTGCTCCTCCGTGCTTTCCGATGCGCGGAGGACGCATTTCATAGCACTTGATCGGCGTATAGAAGTCTATATGTATTTTAATAAGCAGAGGGCCGCTGCTCCACATAGGGAAGTGTTACTGTCTAATAATATGCGGAGAGCACATTCCTGCCACAGAAGGCACGCAGTTCGAACACCGACCGCTTTTCATTCATTTTACCGGCGCTGCTCATCAAAAACCTTCCGTTAGAACCGCAGAGCTTCTAGCATTGTGTCGTTTAGAAAGTAGGGATTCGCGAAGAGTGGTTCGAAGCGAACAGCGCAGTGCTTGTCACTAGCTTCACCGCCATTAACTGAGCCTGTTGTCATTGCTTTTCCTTGCACTGTGAAGATTATGAATAACGCTAGCTGTTGTGTTCGGTCTGAACCACCATTCGCAAATCTCTGCAAGAAACTTCTCAACAGCATGGCTTGCATAAGGAAAGACGCATCTGGCCGATTGGATGAGGCACCTGTCCGTCACAAACACGGGATACAGAATTCTTTTGCTTTGTTTCGGGGATGTTTGAGTGAATACACATTTATTTTCCGTTTTTATGGTCGCGCTTTTCTTATTAGTTTTGATAGCATAACCGCAGCGACACTCTGCCGTCATGTATATGTATGAGGCGCGTTCGCACACACGTTTGTTATACGTGTATGCCATTGAAATGATGTATTCTGTATTTGTTTGCTGCGTAATGTTTTGTTATATTAAAGCTTTCTGTCCAAAGGTAGTTTTGAATATGAATGTTACACGTTGATTCTATTCTAACGAAATGGAAACAAAACTGCAATTATACGAACTACAGATATATGCTAAGTACCCTCGGCATTCAGCATATAATGCAGGTTATCTCACATGCTTTACTTAAAAATAATGGCATTGCGCTGAAACCTTCCCTTTATACAATGATTTCCAAGGATGTGTGGTAAAAATGCAAAAGCATGGGTTTGCTAATTGAGGTTCTTATAAAATAACACTGCATCATATATATTCTTGACATCCCATGCCAGAGTCACTATATGCCGCTCTCTTTCAGTATTGGAGCTAACGATCGCATTGCACTCTTTGGTTTTTGAATGATATTTGCACATTACAACGTAAAAATAATAAAATGAAATGATATAGAGAAAGGTCCGTGTTGTGCAATGCTATTTTTATGCTCTCATTATTACAACAAAATGGCGAAGCTCATACATCACTAGCCTGAATGCGAATGAAGGTAATCACAAAAAGCTTTAAGACAAAAATTAGTAAATACACAAACATGAAAGTTTTGAAAATATATGCAAGATAAGATAAAGTTTAAAAGGACACGCAGACGACAGCCGTAACATTTTCCCTCGTTATCTTTTGACACGAACGTCCAAAAGAAGCGGGTAGTGTCCAATCATAAATTATTTTTATAGTTTTTTGTTTCACTAAAAACCGTTTTCTGTGAAAAAAAAACACAAATTAAAACAAAGTCGCCGATCAAGGAAACCAAAACACAAAGAAAAAATCAAAGTTAATTACCTTTTCGGGATACACCCACGTATATAAACTCACATTCCCCTCGACGACCGCTCAGGTCAGCGCCATGGAGAAACTGGTCGAATATGCCGTGTTCGCCGTCTTAATGGTGGCAAACTTCGGTCTCGGTCTTTACTTCTCGTTTTACAAGAAAGCAAGGGAGGTGACGGCCGAAGAGGTGTTCCTGGGAAGCAACACCCTGAAGATGCTTCCACTCGCTCTCTCGGCGCTGGCGTCTATCATGTCTTCCCTGGGTATCATCGGAGTCACGGGACACGTCTACGCGTACGGGCTCCACGTCTACTGGAACCACATCTTAGCCCCCATCAACGCTTTGATCATAGCCTACATCATCATCCCCGTCATCTACAAACTGAAGGTGACTTCAGTGTTCGAAGTAAGTCCCATCTTTAAAACAGCGTTCTTCGAATGCGTTGCGAGTGCGAGCTGAACCAATACCACTTAGTATAATCGAAGCCGGCGAAGAGCCTTATTTTCCTCGCGTAATGTCGTCCCACTCGGATGGCACAAACTCCGAGTTTCCTTCGACGGATTGGCTGGACACGAGGCAGATCGCAATGCCGACCCTCCGTTCGTATCCAAACTTTGTCTTAGCATAGTCTCACTGAGATTCCATCGCAATGCTAGTTCATGGGCTTTTATTATTCGAGATAATTAAGCGAGCAGTTAATAATTTAGACCAAATAATGCAAACAAGAAACACGCGGTAGTTGTAACCTAGCAGACACATACTCCTTGTATGAATGTTTACGGTCGTTCCAGTAACCATGCGGTCCCTCGTGAATTCAAAATTTTAAATGTTCTATTTCTGTGGCGGGAGAACACCCTCTAATACTTTTGTATTTAGTCTACTTTTACCTCAAACGCGCAAATAAGGTATTACGTAAGGAGAGCCATTGAATGCAGAAACAAAGAAAAACAGGCCTTCGAAAATATATCTCGATAGAACCAAACCAAAACTAGAGATATTACACGTATTAGCGACACACCTGGTAGATCGCAGTCAAAACACGGGTCCACCGCCACCTGTCACATTTCGTGTGACCGTAAATGTCCCGTGTGTCCGATAGCTATTCACTGCCTTCGGGCATTTTGTTAAATGTGCAAAAGATGTTTCTGTAAATAAGATTCTCGAACCAGCACTAGTAATTCTGACCACTTCCTCAAGTATCTGGTTTCATGCATGAGACATAGACTCTTCACTTATTCATTCATTCATTGATTCATTTGTTTGTTCATGTTCATTAACGACTGATAATTAGAATAATAACCGCAATCAATAGTAATCATGAAAATAAACATAATAATTATTTATTCAAAATAAAGGAAAGTACACACTCACGTCAACTTAAACAGATGTGTGCCCTTTACTTGAAAAATGTAATGGTTAACAATTACAATTTACCGAGCATCAACTGTAATGGATTACCGTTACAAATTAGTTTAGTTGAACAGTATCGAAATACGTGAATCGTTACGTTATGACTTACTTTCACGTTACTTTTCTCGTGTGCGTATCCACAAAACAATAGAAACACATTTTGATGTTTTCAAAAATGTTCTGCAATACTAATTTATATTTCTCATTATGAAAGACCTCGTAAAAATAAAATAACGAATTTGAGAAAAAGTAATGTAGGTACCAGGCGGGCACTCCGTTCACCTGTAAGGTGACGAGGCAGCGGTAGCTGCAAACACACCCGCCATCCCGCTAGCTTACGGCCACCGGAAATGATGTCTGGAATTCTGCAGACAAAGCTAGCGTTGCGCATGCTCAGTAGCAGCGTCTACCTCCGCTAGGAGATTCGGAGGGAAGGAGCCGATCTAGGAAAACTGCCTTTTGAAACGGGCCCTTCACGCGTGAGTGCAACGTCTTAAAGCTAGTATCATTCCTGTAGCTCTGACGCACTGTCAGCTTATGCAGCATGCAGCAGTGAAGAATGCATGGGAGCGAGCACACATTTTTGAGCTTTGATTGAGCTGGTAATCGCACACTCATAGTGTTCCGGTTTTTGTATAATGTTAATGTTTTAAGAAGGAACGTGTAACTAAAGTAATGTGTTACCAATATTTTTTAACGAAATTACATGACTAATTACCGCCGCAAAAAGCAAAGTGGCAATTACAAAGTTACCTGAAAAAGTAACGAATTACTTCTCAAGTCTTAGCTAAAATCAATGAACAACCAAATGAATGTGATTAGGCAAAAAATATACTTGACTAACAAGTTCATGTTATTGTTATCCGCAGCAATAAAGTTGCAACAAAATGTGCGAATTGAAGGAAATAATTATCTTACGATTTGAGTAAGAGCGCAGGGTGTTACAAAACAGTATAGATTATTGTTTTTTTACTTTTTTCAGTACCTTTGCATGCGTTATGGCAACACTGTTGGACTCACTGCTTGCGTGATCTACTTCTTCCTCAGCGTAAGTAAAGCACGTAAAAAATAGCTTCACTAACGTCATAGTGTCCATCCTGCCAGTAATAGCTTCTAAGATACAATGCCATAAAACAAATATTTTCAACAAAGCAACCGAGCGTGCTGCTTAATTTGGATGTTATATATATTTGCTTTGGAAGTGGATACGTTCCTGCTTCCTATGTTTTGGTGGCGTTTATTGTTTAAAATTACTGCAAAGTTTAATCATGGCGACCAGTGCATATGATTTGAACGGCGCAGCACCATGGCTGAAATAAAGTTGCCATACTTCTGATCACCAACAATGTACATCGGATTGCGAGATGTGGAATCGTGACACTATAGACAATATTCGTTTTAGACGCGCAAGCAGGCGCGAGCGGCCCTCTACTCTCATCACCGGAAGGCGCTTGTCGCGCAGGGGACTGCGGAAGTCGCGGTTGTAAGCAGCATTCTGTACAGCCTACATGACTTCTATGGGCGTGCAGTTTGTTTTTTCGTCGTGTGTGGGATTTAACAGCGGATGTAAAATAACTATCCATATGAATGGCATTGACCCCGTAAGTGATGACGTCATAGCATGGCGCTCAGCTCCAAGCAAACCGTTGCCAGAGTCGTTGTTATGGGCAAATGCATGGGGGCTCGGCTTTTGGCTAGAAATTGCCTGATACAAAAGTAATATTTTTCTTTATGAGTTAAGTCTTCTCATTGTTCAATCGTGCAGACTATTGATGTGGTCTCAATACCATAAAGCGAAGACTAAGGTGTGTACTAAATTTTCACCACCGCTTTTACCTTGTCAGCAGAAGGCACAATAACTTCGTAAATTCGGCGTTTTTTTTTTTTTTTTTTTTTTTATGGAACATGCGGTTGCGTCGAATGAAGTAGGGGACGATCTACGAAGCTTATATTCTCGGGGTAAACTTTCTGCGGGATTTCGGAAGCGAAGAGTGCCCGTACACAGCTTTCATCGACGGTCCAGATGCGTGAACGCGCGAACGCCTTTCCGTGGAAATCGCTTCCGCAATATTTGGCAAGTTGAAAACACTGTGAGGCCGAATCACGTACGGCGACGACGTGAAGTGTATCAAGGTCGAAATGCAGGCCAGCCCACATTTCAAAGATCTCTGACAGCACAGTTCTATTCAGCAACATTTGTGAGATCAAACGGACTGTCGGTAACATATATATCTTGCCGCGTGCATGACCGAGTAGGAACGCTTCTCGTTTTACTCCGCACCTCCACCAGAAATGTCGCGGATGCAAAAGGCTCGACGGGGTTAAACTGAAAATAAAGGTTCAATCGGCAAATCATGGCGATTCAACTTTCTCAAGATGTTTTACCTTTCGTTCTTATTTTTTTATTCCTCACTCTGTTTTTTTATTTCTCTCTCATACCTTCTTTATCACACTCCCTCCGATTACCTGTTTTTCTTTTAGAGCGCAGCTCTTAGGGGCCCGTTTCCGGCTTGAGCGGCGTCGGCGTCGCCGTCGGCGTAACCGCGCGGTGCATCATGGGAAATGTCCCATAATGCACCGCGCGAGCCCCCCACCGGGGTCACGTGACCTCGTGGGGGGCACGTGACCCCCCGGTCACGTGACTCCCCTGAGGTCACGTGACCCCCGCCGATGTTGCGTGACCCCCCAATGACGTCATCGTCACTGATGACGTCACCGGGATCCACATCGTCATCGTCATCATCACTGATGACGTCACCGGCATCCACATCGTCATCGTCATCATTGATGACGTCACCGGCATCCACATCGTCATCGTCATCATCACTGATGACGTCACCGGCATCCGCATCGTCATCATCATCATCACTGATGACGTTACCGACATCCACATCGTCATCGTCATCATCACTGATGACGTCATCAGTGACGTCACTGATGTCGTCACCGGCATCCACATCGTCATCGTCATCGTCACTGATGACGTCACCGCCATCCGCATCGTCATCGTCATCATCACTGATGACGTCACCGGCATCCGCATCGTCATCATCACTGATGACGTTACCGACATCCGCATCGTCATCGTCATCATCACTGATGACGTCAACAGTGACGTCACTGATGACGTCACCGAGATTCCCATCGTCATCATCACTGGTGAAGTCATCAGTGACGTCACTAATGACGTCATCGGCATTGGGGGTCACGTGACCCCCGAGGCCACGTGACCCCCCAAGGTCACGTGACCCCCCCTGGTTAGTTTAACCCCCCCCCCAGTGCCCTTCCCTCCTCCTCCTCAAGAGCTGCGCTCTAATTCGGCTTTACAGGGAGTTGTAAGCAGCTTTCATTTTTTAGAGCGCAGCTCTTAGGGGCCCGTTCCCGGCTCGAGCGGCGTCGCCGTCGGCGTCGGCGTAACCAAGGTCACCCCAAGGTCACACGACCCCCAACGTCACCCCAAGGTCACGCGACCCCCAAGGTCATCCCAAGGTCACGTGACCCCCAAGGTCACGTGACCCATCCTGAGGTCAGGTGACCCCCCGAAGTCACGTGACACCCCCCGGGGTCACGTGACCACCCCCCAGCGTCGCGTGACCCCCCGCCGAGGTCACGTGACCTCCCAGATGACGTCACCGGCATCCGCATCGTCATCGTCATCATCACTGATGACGTCATCAGTGACGTCACTGATGACCTCACCGGCATCCGCATCGTCATCGTCATCATCACTGATGACGTCACCAGTGACGTCACTGAAGACGTCAACGGCATCCGCATCGTCATTGTCATCATCACGGATGACGTCATCAGTGACGTCACTGATGAAGTCACCGACATCCGCATCGTCATCGTCATCATCGCTGATGACGTCATCGGAGTCCGCATCGTCATCGTCACTGATGACGTCATCAGTAACGTCGCTAATGACATCATCAGCATCGTCACGTGACCCCTCAAGGTCACGTGACACCCCAAGGTCACGTGACCCCCCCAGGTCACTTCACCCCCCCCAGTACCCTTCCCTCCTCCTCCTCAAGAGCTGCGCTCTAATTCGGCGTTACAGGGAGTTGTAAACGGCTTTCACTTTTTTTTCTTGTTTTATTTCTCAATCTGTTACGTTAAGCACGTATACGTTTTACTCTGATAATAATTTTCTTTCTTTTATCTTTTTTTTTAAATTCTCAGTCTTTCCACGCCAGTCAACTTTCCGTGGGGAAGAGGGGGCCGGTCAATCAGGACGGTGACGACCGATGATTGTGCTCGCCCGATGGAAGTCCCCCGGGAAGTCGAATAGGAAAAAAGAAACTAAAAGTTGTTCGATCCCGCTGAACACATGGCGACTTTTGTTGGCTTTACATTGGCCAGTGTGGCCACGTTTATTTTGAAACAAAACAACTCAACAGTGAGTGAAAATCCCAAAATTAAACCCCGTACTTTTGTTCCCAGTCTCCCATAATCGAATCGAAGCCAATCCTCCAGAATCTCCTCGGGGATCCTTTTATAGACACGCAGGGGCCTCCTTTCCCCTCAGGGACCGACCAATCCCTTCAAATTTCACCACTCCCACGTGGTACACTGTTCTACAATGGTCGGCAAGCTGCCAGCCTGGCGCTCCAACCGCCCAATGCAAACTATTTCTAAAGTCAACCCATGCATTTTACGCAGATTGGCTGGCGCCAACAGCTAAATTATTACATCGGGTAAAAAGCTACAATTTTACACTAAGCGGCCCAAAACCCTCTATATACAGGCATATTCGGCTAAATGCTACACGATTCTCCGAGCGCGGGCTCTCCCGGTCCCGGTCCGAGCAGACTCCCGAAAGCCGAGACGCTTCTTAACGACCGCGGGGGAACCGCTCCCGCATTGCGGCCGCTCTGGCCCCGCCGACACAAACGTAGAAAGTAAAAAAAAAAAAAATAAAAAAACAATGCCGACGCAAATTTGCAAAGATAAACTTTCCTAACAAAAATCATCTTAACTAATAAGCAGGATTTCAAAAACTTATCACCTCCCCACGAATAATGTTGCAAGTACACTTGTTGTTCGCGCAACATCAGTCCCACTGTTCGTCACTTCGGAGACACACAGCATCGAGCAAGACCCGGAGTCGTACATTCCAGATTCTACAATGTCCATATAGATATATTTAAACCCGCTGATCCCAAAGCTTTACAGTATGGGTGCAGACGCCACTAGGCACTCTATTCCCAATAAAGTTCGCACTAGTCAAAATAAACATTCAAAATAAAAAAATAAAAAAAAAACTATATCACTTGAAAAAAGAAATGCAAAATGCTCCAAGAAAGGAAACTACAGATAACTCTCAACGTCTCCGCCAGCGCTTTCCCAAAACTTTTTCGTGCCTCGACATGCACGTTTCGAAATATACGTGAGGATCGACAAACTTCTCCCACAGAGAATAGAGACTGTGCACCAAAAAATATTACGTAGAATATAAACTACTGAAGGCCGACCGAAAAGCAAAAGGAAAGTTAATCAGGAGGGATGTAAGATAAACGTAGCCTAAAGGCGAAACAAAACCCCAGTAGCCTTGCTAGCTACCCTCCTAATCTTGGCCATTTTGTCGTCCAGCTCGTCGCCATCGGAGACGTTCTGAGAACTGCCCGAGGCGGCGCGCAGTACACGACACTCGCTGATCCCGAGCTCAAACTGAAAGTCTGCTGTCCTCGCGTGCGAGCTTTGGCCACTGGCCGGAGTGGCGTCCTCTTCTCTGCGCCCATTGCGCCCATATTGCGCTCGCCACCTCGGCAGCTTCTTGCGTCGGGACTCCTCCTTCCGGAGTCGCTCGACGCAGCCTACTTCCTGGTCGTCAGCCTATGATGTACCGCCGGCCTGACCTTCGGTGACGACACGATGCCGGTAGCGGAGTCGGTGCCATCACCATCGCTCCCGCTCTCGCCTCCCTTTGCCACCGGATCACCGGCGAGTGCCTCTGCTTCGTCGGCGCCAGCTCTCCTCCCAATTTTCACTTCGCGGCCGCCGCAGTCATCGCCGTATGCAATCTCCTCGCGGTCTTTCTCCGGA